CCCCCCCACACACACACACACACACACACCAGCTCAGTGACAGAGGAATCTGCTGTGTCAGTATCCTCTAAGTGTTCACACTCACAATGACTTTCTGTGTCTTTCTGTCCAGCTCCTGGTGAAAAGGATGGCAAAATACTGGAGTAAATGAGCCAGAGAGCAAGCCTGCCCTTCCTTCAGGAGTTTTCATGGGCCACACACTTTTCCCCTCAGTTTAGTGTTTATGTGTGTTACTTTTCTAAAAGAGATGGTGAGCTGTAATAAATGATTATAACTCGGAGTATGTATGACTTTGAATATATGTGAGAGTTCTCCACAGTGTAAAGGTCCATGTCTGGATCGGAGGAGAAAGTGGAGTCTTCAGGATCAGATGATCAGATGAGCCTGCAGCAAAGGCTGATTTAAAGGGCGACATCACAGGGGGGCATTGGGAGGAATCAGTTTAGGGAACGGGTCGTTCGGTGGTAGCTCCGTCGTTTGCTCCAGGAAGTTGACGGGCGAGTGCAGAGCGGGGGAGCAGCGTGAGTGTCTTTCAGGATGGCTCGTCGGTGAACCCGAAGGAATGGCCGTGCGCTTGTTTGACACGAGGTCAGGTCACTGGCAGTGATAAATGGGCTGGACGTACTCTGGAGGGAAGTAGCCCACGCGTCCATGGCAACGGCCCCTCCAGCGCACCGAATCAGAGCAGTCAATGAGTTCAATGACATCACCACGCAGGAAGCGTAGCTGGGACGGGTGGTGCGGGGTGAAGTCGAAGACAGCTTGGGCATGATGGGAACGCTGTGGGTCAGGAGGGAGAGAGGGAACAGGAGGGAGGGGAGGAGGAAAAGAAAAGAGAGTTAATCACACATTTTCATCACAACAGTAAGTTAATACCCAGTTAATAGCGTCAAAGAAAATACTAAAAGTAACCCACCCCTGTGTTGAAGACAGCTATCAAGCTATATAAGATTTACACATTAGCCCGGGGAAATGAACCTTAAAGCCAGAATTGGCCCAACAAAGACTCCAGTATAAAGTATAAATGCAAATATTATACAAAATTTTAAAATGAAAGAATTTCTGTATTCTGAATTTTTTTAAAGATTTTTTTGTATATTTTTCTTCAACCACACATTTGCCATTTACAGAAGTCTCTGTTAAAAAAAACAGGTAGAAAATTACTGTTTTTGTTGTTGTTGTTGTTGTTTGTTTGTTTTTTACACTTTTTATAGTGTGGACAAGTGAGCTACCAGAACTCTGTCAGTTTACACTTTAAAGTCCAAAGAGTCATAATGACAGTCTTCTTTCACTGATATAACAAACTATTATGACTGAACTTGTTTTTCTTAAATTAAAATATCTCTGGGATTAAATGTGCAGTTAAACTTCTGTACAGTCACAGAAAGGGGAGATTCACTGGCCTGCTTAAGTAGGCTGCATGTGGCCCACGATGTAAAATGAGTTTGACATCCCTGTATTAGAAAATGAGAGATGAGGCCTTTTCATCGCACAATATAAAGACACCACATGTCAAATGTCAATGAAGCTCTTTTTTACCAATTCAATCCAGAAACAAAGAACATGAATGCTACTTTTCTATTTTTAAAAGCTGGAAAGGAGGCAGTAAGCTTCTGTAATCCAACGTCTCCCACATAAAATGAGTCATAACACACCGGTGCAATGTGTGTAGTATTCAGTGGGGTTACGCTGTAGCAGCATGGTGTTATTTGCATGTGACGGTCAAATATGTTACTCGTCAAATGAGGGGGTTGTAGAGTTATTAACGTGTTTATCTCGCTACGTTTAGATGGCTGCAGAAACCAAATCAACTTAATGTCCTGCAAAAGACAGATGTTTCATGCTGATTTAATATCACAGCCAGTTTTGGGTTACCTTTGTTTTTTTTATCAGTGACTCCCAAAAATATGTCTTTCTTTATGTTAAAGTAATATTTATACATACCAGTGCGTTTTCTGCTTATCATCAGGATATAAGATTATAGAAAAAAAATAGAGCACACAGTTTACAAGGGCTAGTTTGGAAATTTCTCCACTACACGAACTTAAAATGAATGTTGGTCAATAAGGTTCGCTGGTCTTATCTCCTAAAGGCTTTGAGAGGTATTATTTAATTCACCAGCCACGATCTAGATGGTGAATTTTTAAAGTGAGCGCAGTTTCTTTGAAGCAGGAGGCCAAACAAAACAAGAAAAAGAATACGAGCTCCAAAGAGATTAAATAAGTCTTGGTAAATATGAAAAAACAGTCTATGTATTCACACATTCATACAGAGCACGCACTTGGTGACAGCAGGAACGAAAAACTCCCTTTTAACAGGAGAACCCTCCACCAGAAGAAGGCTAAGGGAGGGACAGCCATCTGCTACGACCGGCTGATGTTGAGGGGTGAGAGATTAATAATAACTAATGATTACATGTACAGTAGTGTGTAAGCACCTAGAGAGTGAAAAGAGTTGAATGAAGAAGAAACACTGTCCATCATGGGAAGTACCCATCAACCTAGGCCTATTGCAGTGTATCTAAGTGAGGACTCAGGGGTAGCTGAGCCCTGATTATGAGAGCTTTGTATCCTGAATCCAATCTGGGAGCTGAATTCTCTGCTCCCCATTCTACTTTTAAGTATCCTAGAAACTGTTAGTAAGCCTGCAGTCTGAGAGCAAAATTCTTTATTAGGGTGATACAGTACTATCAGGACCAGGGAAACAACTAGATCTATCCAAGAGTAGCATATGCTAATGGACAGATACTTATATAGCACCTTCCACTACAGCTACAACTACACTACAACAACTCTCATTCACCCAATCACACACACTACTTCTGGTACTTCAGCTTCTTCCCACAGTCCAAAGACATGCATGGGGTTAGGATAAATGGCTAAATTGGCCATATGCATGAAAGTAATGTGACTTGTTGACTTGTTGTTTGTCTCTCAGTGTTGTTCCTGTGTTAGACTGGAGTACAGTCCAAGGTGTACTCCCTCTCTTGTCCTATGACAGCTGGGATAGGACGGTGAACTGAAGGTGAAACTGATGAAAATGAATGGGTGGCTGGTTTTGTTTCGAGGGCTTCAAGGACTTGTGATACTGAGAAAGTGATGGAAGCTGTAAAGAAAACCATGCGTGTAGGGCATATTTTCAAGGGGAGAGCGAGTACAGACAGCGATGTTAGAAAGGACCTAACAGACAGAAAAACAAAGAACATGCTGCTTACTCCCACTCCAGACACACCACTAATCTGGCCCTGTTGGGTTTAAAGTTACCATTCTGACACATTCCACTTTCTTTACCCTTCGATTCTCAGACTGTCCTTACCTGACAGCAGGTTAATATCAATGAGGCAAGATATTTTAGATTGCTGTGACACTTTTATGGTGATGAACATCATGTGCTTTGCATAAAATTCTCATTATGCGCACCTTCGTGAAGCATGAAAATCACTTCGCGCCACTCTTCTCCTCAAAAGCCTTGTTTAGCGTTGGGTTTTATCCGATATTTAAATCGAGTAAATGGTAGATTTTAGTTTCTCTTGGTCATAAAAGAGAAACACAGAGGGATGGGTATGCAACGGAGAGGTGCTATCAGTCCAGAATGATGAGTGTAATAAACACACATGCCCACTAAAAATAACAACAACAAACAACGCTTATAATGCTTGTCGCTGTGATGTTTGATGGCAATCCAGGGCAAGGGGAGCCGCTTTAAATTCAGCCCTCAGATTCTTCTCTCTCTTCCTCAAGATGTTTTTCTTTGAGTTCACAAAAGTACTGTTTTTCTTCTCCCTCGATCGCCGGCCTCCTCTGATCGCTGCTGACTCGTGAAGTAAAAGCAGTTTAAGAGTGGCAGAACAAAAGTGGCTATTTTAAGGAGAGAGGCTCGAACTTAACTAACCCGACTATCACTGGCGCTCCCACAGAAGAAGGTGGATGTGATGTGAACTGCGAGGGAGCGGGGAGGCTGCAATGAATACCAATATTGTTTTTTATATGTAGGTGCGTAGATATCTATGTTGGAATTCTGGGCTTTTTTATTGTGGACTGCTTTATCTTAGAGTAAGGCCCAATAAAATGACACCCAAGTAGCGGTAGGCACACAAAACATGTACACAGTTACAAACAAGTACATGCACTAACTAGACAGTGGGATTAGGATCAAGAAACCCAGACAGAATCCATCAGGCCTGCAAATCTATAAAATCCTCACAGTCTTATGATTTATTGTTTCACTGATCTAGTCGAGACTTCTAGTTTGTGTGGGTTGCACAAGAAGAACCCTTTCATTCTTGTTCTCTCTTGTAAAGACAAATACAATCCATGTATCCTTGTGATTAGGGTTGACTCTACCGCCTAAGAGAGCACTGACAGTACAGCTTTTGCTAGTTCCCTTGTGCACAGAATGCAACGAAAATTCCTCCAATACTGCTTGTTTGCCCCTTTGCACAAGGTCCAAGTTTTCCAGGGTAAAAGGGAAGGCTTTGCAACACAAGGACATGAGGATATTAAGGGATGTGTTAGGAGAATTATTTCCTATTCTGCCATACTGAGATAAGAAGCTATCAAGAGCCATGTAATGAGCTGATGTGGAATTAGTTTGGGAAGACAAACCAAACAATAGGAGGGTCAACACACACACACACACACACACACACACACACACACACATATACATACAAAAAAAAAACACCATGGTGCAACATGATTCAAGGACTCACAAGTGCTCAACACACTCGGTTCACGTCTGTGAAACTGACCTATTTAGTCGAACACAAAAAGTAAGAGAAACACTGAACGCAATCTTTTCATAACCTCGTCTTTCTTTATAATCTAAATGGTTAAAGGGGGGGATTGAACAGTTTTTTTCTTTGTATTCTTATTTCTTTTATGAAAGAAAAAGAAGTGATGCTGTGAAGAAGTGGATACTGAATACTGTTAATATTTCAGAGCTTTGAGCGTGCACATCAAGCTCACAAAGAAGAAAGAGCTGCTGAGCAAATACACAAGAAAGTGCCAGACTGTTTATTTGTCAGTTTGCCATATTGTTGTCTGGTTAACTGGTCTTTAGGGCAAATTTCTTTCATTTAGTATTTTCTTTGGGGTTTTTTTCTTCTCCAAAAACGGCACAGAGGATTTTGTAGCTCACACAATTCTGTCCACAGTGGCACCTCGGAGATGTTTAAGAGTCCTTCTCATGATCAAAACCCAAATAGAAACCCTAAATATGGTTTTGCCATAACCAGGTTAAGTCATTCATCAAACAATCTTTTCTCCAAGAGAAGTAAAGCGTGAGTTGTATGACCGTGTGCAAACGCTGCCAGTGGAAGACGCTGGGTGTTGGAGCTTTGTTGATGCCCAAGGCCAAGACGCGAAGACCAGCTGACTGTGATTTTATATAGCTTGACGGTGAAAAAGCCAGATGGGTCCAAAGCTAATATCAATGTTTCATGTGTGCTTTTAATCTGCGCATCTACCTACTGGGAAACCAAGCCCACTGATGAAGAAGAATTGAAGATAACTGGATACAGATGGAGCCAGTGCAGAAATGATCGGCTGGTGTTTACATGATTGCATCTCTCTTTTTCCCCCCACCTTTGATCCTCTCACAGATTAAATTGTAAAGAAGTAGAAGGCTGTAGAAATACATTATGTTTATGGAGATTCAATGCTAAGGAAAGCTCTCCACAGACAGGCACAGAAAATACACCTTCTTAAAGCTCAAATTAAAACAGTAAACACATATGGAGACATAAAGAACTGACTAAGCTGCTGTGATCTCGTGTGGAA